TGAATTATAATATTTAATACTTAAGAAATTCAATATTAAATAAATTTTATACATTTATAACAAATTATAAATCCATATATGCAGCTTACCGTATTTGCAAGCAGCTTACCGTATACACTGCCTACCGTATTTGCAGTCTACTGTATTTGCAAACAACTTACCGTATTTGTACCTTACCGTATATGCTGCCTATCGTATTTGCAACTTACCGTATTTGCAGCCTACCATATTTGCAAACAACTTATCGTATTTGCTACCTACCGTATTTTACAACTTACCGTATTTACAGGCTACCGTATTTGCAAACAACTTACCGTATTTGCAATTTACCGTATATGCTGCCTACCGTATTTGCAACTTACCGTATATGCTGCCTACTGTATTTGCAGCTTACTGTATTTTTATATACCGATTATTGCACTTACAAATATCGAAAATGCAAAACACTGTACATTCACTTACCAAACCGAATTTCAAAAAAATTCATTGATTTTTATTTTTTCAACATAAGTATAAAATAAATATTAAATATATATGAAGCACAAAATATAAATGCATATGAATATGGTGTTCAATATTCAATTTTCCAATATTGAATTAAACAAAATTTAGAAATATAATATTCAAATTCAATTCAACCATATCAACACTATCAAAGAATACAATCAAAATAATTTGTATAATCTCGTATATTTCTTATTCAAGTATGAAATACACAAGTATATTTTTTTTCTAAATGACACAATACTATTATGCAGTTGTAAAAATAATTTGCAATTATTTTCTTATATTATGGAAATATTTCTAGATATTCCTTCAAAAACTTTTCAAAAAACTAAAATTCATATACTAATAAAAATACGATAAATGTAAAATTCGGGCAACACACGTGACAGTCATTGTGCGGAGAGGGTTCTTTTTTTTTTTTTTTTTTTTTAACTTTGCATTATATGGAGTGTTTGCCAACTCTCCGCACTGTGCGAAGTTTTTTTCTCCACACTATGCGAAGAGTCCGCACTTGTAAAGACAGTGTCCGCACAGAATGTCATCTTTCTGTGATGTGCAGAGAGTTTTGTCATGGTGTTTGCCATCTCTCTGCACTGTGCGGAGAGATTTTTTTTTACTTCGCACTATACAAAGAGTTTGCCAACTCTCCGCACATGGTTTGCCATCTCTCCACACTATGCGGAGAGTTTTTCTTCCTTTTTTACTCCGCACATGATTTGTCATCTTTCCGCACAGTGTGAAAAGTTATTTTTTTTAAAGCTCGCGTGTGTGTGTGTGTGTGTTTTTTTAGCTCATGGCAATTTATATTTACTAAAATTATTATTATTTTTTAATGCTAGTAGCATGATGTGTGAAAGAACATTTGTTTGATATAAACAAAATGAAATCATGCATAGTGAAATTGGATTAAATTACTATTGCATGAATAGTAGACTCTGATGATATGTAATCATTACACTCTGAAGATATATAGAGATACAATTGGGGATATTGAATCTTTAAAATTGCATAAAATATGATAGTTTTTGTATCTAAAAACTCTTGACTGAATTTTGCTCATAGATGTACAATTTTCAATTCATGTATAATCTATTGTTGTGATTATTTGATAATGATATACATGCATATATAAAGTATGTCAAACATGTTGAGATTTACTCACTCCCATGAACAATCACTTCAAATAATTTCGATGAGACCAAAGTGATCGTCTTGTATACATGATCCAATAACCTTAGTGAAATATCAAGATGAGGTTACAGTAAGCAATCAAAATGAATTTTGCAAGCTATTAAAACCTATTTAGTAGGCAAATCGAGTTCTCGATTTGAGATTGTCTTGAAGACTGAATATAACAAAAACTCAAATTAGATTTCGAGAAATATTTGAACTAGGATTTATACGGTGTTATTTATTTTTATAGAATATAGCATACGCCCTAAGAAAATAAGAAGATATTGTAAAACATATTTTATACCATGCGTGCTTTTACAAGTAATTTGATATAAATGAGTGAATAGATTTATCCTTCCTCATTGTGCGTGATCTTGAGATTTACATAACCTGATACATAACATTATGACTTTTGAATGTTTCTAAAGATTTTATTTTAGTGTTGCCACTTTAACACGTTCTAATAACTATGATTTATTTGATTTGACGGGACATATCCAGAAAAGCTGTTGATTAAAGTTGAAGGATTGAGTAGGAAAGAAAAACCTTTTTGATCAACATTTCTGTTTGTATTCACGGTCTAAATAATTGTTGTTAAGCATTTAGCGTTTAAAACAGAATTGTGAATACAAAAATACAGTGTGGAGTTCAAGTGCATTTCATAAGTATCCGAGAGATCAGAAATACTTGAATTAGTGTTGGAAAATGAGTTTTGGGTATAGCGAGATGTGACGTTGCCTAACAAGTTTGTAATACCACAGCTCTAATATGTACTTGTTGATCGCATTATCTATTTGTCGTATGAATCTTTATGAGATAGATCTTAAGAAGGAAAAATGTGTGATATTCATTATCATTTTCTGTGGTTTCGATCAAGTCCATAAAGCGTGAGTGAGAGATGTTAAAAAATACAGGTTGTGAGTCGTCCATGTGGGGGTGACCCAACTACAATACATAAAAGTGGGTTGGAGGAAATTCTTTGAAATATATTCAAACACATAACTTCCATCAATTTCAGTAACTTCCTACCATTCTTGTCACTTTCTCTTGTGATTTGGGGAGAAAAAAGATGGTAAGAAAATGGTGTGAAATTCGCATGTAAAAATGCACCAAAATTCTAAAGGGCCTTGAACCACTTTTTTATTTTTTATTTTTAATTTAATTTAATTATTATTATTATTATTATTATTATTATTATTATTATTATTATTATTATTTTGCATGAAAACTCACAAAATTAGGTACCTAGCTTGTGGATGATAATCTCCTTTCATAGTGATCGGGATTGGAGACTATAGCAGTGCAAGAAATGCAGATTTTGGAGTTTGAAAAGCAAAGTAATTAATTCAATCACGAAAAAATCTTAGAAATTCATCTTTTAAAGTAAGATTTCTTGAATTGATTTTTTGTTTGAGTCAAGTAATGATTTAGGGACTTGATTATTTATTTCCCTAAAAAAGAAGAATATTCATATCAAAAAGTTACCTAGATCCCAACTGAAGGTTCTTACGTTGGAGGTTTGTACCTTCCTTATATATAATGACAAATTGGTAGACATCCTATTGTTTTTTTATTAGAAATGAAAAAAAGGGTTTAGAGCCTTATTTGGTTCAGCTAAAAAAATTATTTAAAATCAAAGTCATATTCAATAATTAATTTTAACTATATATTCAATGAGATTCATAACTTTTAATTACAAATTTCATTAATTTTAATCAAAATTTACTAAAAGTTTGATTTCTATTTTTTATTTTTTAATCTAAATCAAATATGGTTTAGAATAAAATTCTAATGTTTAGTGGTCAACTGGTCTCCTATTGGATACTGCTACTTGATCTATTGGGTGAGGCTTGGTCCACATATTGTGGATGTTTTATTCTATGTATAGTGTTGAAATGTCAAAAAATAATAACAAATACATTTTATAGTTTGTGGGACATTTTTTATTTAGAGTACATAGAATATAGTTAAGAATAATTTTGTGAAAATAAAATTTTCACTAAATAAATTTTGATTCTCACATTTCTATAAATACCATTAAGATAAGTGAGAATTTCAGAAAAAAAATTATTGGTCCTAAAATTTTGGAATCCATCTCAAAAGCTTCCATTAATTTGTGTGAATAGTTAGAATTAGTGATGTTAAACCTAATTGAATTTGTTTGATTCAATTCGAATTTTGTTAAATTAGACTTTAAGCCTCTCTAAATCGCTCACTAGACTGGTTGACAATCCGGTTGCCTAATATTTTAAAAGGGTCGATGGCCAGCCTGGATCTAAAATCTAGACTTCAAATTTCATATTCATTTACGAAGAGAAAAGCAATTTAAAATTGTTTAAAAATAATGAAAAATTGTGAGAATGAGTCAAATAAAAGAGAGTAGAATCTATGATTTAGACCAACGATATTTTAGGGGCAAGTACATAAGTTTGTAATATGTTTTCCCACAAAACAATAAAATAGAACTACTAATTTATGTGAATAAATTCATATATAAACAAAATATAAAAGTTGAAAATAGTTGATTTATTTTCTTATTTTGTTCTAATTTCCCTCAAATTAAAATGAACCCAACATTGACTCATGATTTGAAAATTGGATAATGTAAACCATAGAATATTAGACTATATTAAGGAATATAGTCCACCACATTATTTGAGGAAATTACGGATGTGCTCCTTAAGCTTTCAATTAGTGGGGGTTCAGGTCCCTAATGTTTAAAAATGAAGTTTTGAGTTCCTAATCTATTTAAATATGTGAATTTGGATCCTCTCGTGATAAAAATGATCAATATGAACATTAAAATCTCACATTATTTTCACATGACCTAGTCCCTGTTTGATAACCATTATTTGAAAACTCTTTTTTCTAAATACTTATTTTCAGTTACACATTTATACAATAAAATATTTTGCTCGTAAATTTAATTATTTTTTAATTTTTTACCACATATTCCCATAAAAATGACTATTCAAAACATTTTTCTATCTAGATAATGGCCATCATACAAGGGCTTAATGCTGAAGGAAAAATTGTCTAATAATGTCCAACTTCAAATCATTTGAAAGTCGCTTGTAATTTTATGTCATAGACAATTTTCGTACTGTAAGGATCTCGATTTACAGATGTAAATATGTTAAGGATTGAAAACCTCTCTTCTAAAAGTTATCATCTCAAAATCATGTTACATAAACGGTTAATTAGTTGAAACTACTTTGACCAAATAATAATAATAATAAAAATAATAAAATCCTTTATTTCAATCTTTAAATAATTGTTTTAAGATTTGCCAAACATGCATTATGTATGGCACATTTCTTGTACTACGTAACTATTACGGCACTGTACGACAGTCAATCGATATATGAACACATCAGTTCCTTATTTCCTCCGCAGTGTACCACACGAATCCTAACCCTAACTCCGATCCTCCCCCTTCCACTCTTGAACGACCACACGGCTGAGATGGACGGCGGCGGTCACATGAACCAAATGGGCGGCGGCCACATGAACGGAATGGGTGGTGGCAGGGGCATTGCACCGCCTCCTGGTGCCTTCCACCACCGCCACATGATGATGCACATGACCTTCTTTTGGGGGAAAAACACCGAAATTTTGTTCCATGGATGGCCGGGATACAACAACTCTGGCATGTACGCTCTCGCCCTTGTGGTGGTGTTTCTCCTGGCGATTATGGTCGAGTGGCTCTCGCACTGTAATTACATCAAAGAAACCTCCAACCGCCTTGCGACGGGGCTGCTTCAAACCCTGATGTACGCCATAAGAGTTGGTTTGGCTTACATGGTGATGCTGGCCGTGATGTCTTTCAACGGTGGAGTTTTTCTGGTTGCAATCGCCGGCCACACAGTCGGATTTTTTGCATTTGGGAGTAGATTTTTCAAGAAACCATCACCGCCGGCGGGTTTTACGCAAACCTCGGATCTTCCTCCGATGAGTTGCTGATCAATCAAAATGCAAGATGCGGGTTCTGACGTCTGATAATTGTAGCTATTATTGAAGTTTATAATTGGATTATTAGTAATTTAATTGTGAAATTAATTTGCTTCTAGGAATAGGGTTATGGCTTGGATTATAATTTGAATTTTATTAAGCAATATGCCAGCTAGATCCATGGTTTTGAAAGGGTTATTAGGTTTATTAACCCCTGTTTGGTAGCAATTTTTCAATAAAAAAAAAAAATCAATTTTTTGACTTTATTTCACTATTCCATCTATAATTTTTTACCTTTTTCACTCACATATGTGATATACTTTTCTCTCTGTAACGATTAAAAAATTAATTTTCATAATTACTATCGAACATACCCTAATAAACAAATTCATTTTGCGAGTTTGTTCTATATTACGTCTTGAAAGGTTTCTACAAAGAATAATGCCAATGACTTATTCCATGTTTGAGAGTCTTCATTAATAAGAGGATCGCCCTAAACTAAGAAAGAGATTGATAGTTGATTTTATTTCTCAATCTTCTAGAGTTTCTCTAATAGAATAAAATTATTTTTGGAAATTTGGAAGTTAATAAAGTCATGTTGGTATTATTTTGATTTATCGTTATTTCTTCATTTTCCAAGTTCTGTAACCCTTTCATCAATCCTATTTAGGGTCCGTTTGATTGTAAGGATAGAATTTGGGGAAAAAGAGAACAAATTTTAGAGAATTGAATTGTCTAGAACTTATTTTTTTGAAAATTGTCAATTAAATGTGTTTAATTGGTATACTTTTCCACTTTTTGGATCTTTTGATGTTTATTTGGCTTTGTTTTTCATGAAATTTGTCAATTAAATGGATAGATTTTTTTATAATTGTGGATAGGATTTGTTTCCATTGCAAAAAATAATAATAATAATAAATTTAATTAATTAATTAATTAAAAGATTTAAAACCCATTTTCTCACTAGAACGGAGAACCCAAGAAATTGGAATTCCTTCAAAACCAAGAAAATGAGGTCACATGAGGGAGAAGTGGAAAATGAATTACTTGGAAAATTTTGGAAATCAAACAAGAGAAATTGTGTGGAAATTTCATGGAAAAAACCCCTATCAAACAGGGCCTTAGTGAAAACTCCAATTGATCAAAGAAGAAAAGAGAACTATCGCTTTTTCCTCGATTAGAAATCAAAATCTTCGATTCACATTTTCGACCGAAGACAAAAAACAAGTAGAACACAATCAACAGTAGATTTTATCTTGGTTCGACTTTAGAATAACCTATACTTTCATGGAGCCCCACCCACTCATGCACTAGATTTATCGAGATATTTCAAGACTTGTAGATATACGCAACCTAAAAGAGTAAAATCTCTATGAAGAACATGGGTGAACCATCAATATACTTAGAGTAAATAAACAATAAACTACCCGAAAATAATGCTAACAATAAGGGTGCGTTTGATTGCAAGTAGGAAAATTGTATAGAAAGAAAATATTTTCCAGGTAATTCAATTGCCTGGAAATTATTTACATGAAAAATGGTAATTACACGTGTTTGATTGACCTAAATTTCAACCTAGAAAATGTTGCAATTTTCCAACTTTTGGTGTTTGATAGCCATTATTTTCCATGGAAATAATCATTTTTTCCAACTTTGTCTGTTTGACAACCACTATTATCCATGAAAATTGTCACTTTTTCCATGGAAAGTAGTGGTTTTTTCCCATTAAAATTTGTCAGTGTGAGTGATCCAAATTTTAGACATAAATGCGGCCAAATCCTAATCAATCATAATTAATATAACAGTTAATTTGTGGATAAAAATATGCCAAGATTCGGTACGGAAGATGCAGAAACACGGTCGAGATGAAATAATTATCCTTAACAATTAAGATTTCTACCACTTACATATTCGTCTTTGCAGTCATAAATAATAGTCGGATAATCAATTCAATAAATAATGATGAAATTTCGTCCAATGTATTACATAAAACGAAAATGAAAAAACCCAAAAAATCTGTATCATAAGAAAATAGCAAATAAAATCAACATAGATGTCATACTTTCACATGTTTGTTAAATTATCCAACCAAGTCATCTTAAAATAGTGGAGGCGGATCACAGCTCAGATTCTCAAATACTAAATCACGCATGAATTCTTCATCAGTCAAACTCATAAATACTCTAGCCAGACTCTCATCCGATCGAAATATTTTCATTACTTGCATTATGTCACGCTTTTCTATACGCATGCCTTGTAATTTTTCTAGAACCAACTGCCAATTGATATGGTTTAGCGTATCTAATGTTGCTTGAGTCTCCATAGCGATAGCAATTTTTTTGGATGATTCGGCAATGCTTGATAGGGCAACGAGACTCTCATCATTAGGTTGGGTACGTCGACGGCGAACTTTGTTAGTGCCTCCTTCGGCATTACGCTTAAGAGCGCGAATGGGGCTTGGATCCGTATCCTCATTTTGACCATCAACTTCACACACAGTTTCACCTAACAAATAGTAAAATAAGAAATTGTTAGAATCTCTAATATAATACGAATTATATAAATTTTTATGTCTGATCTAGTACGTACCATGATCAGGGGATAAAATGTCATTGCCGGTTACAGCACGATCTCCTGTAGCAGAATCATTTCCAAAAATAGCCTCCAAATCATCATAACGAGAACAAAGTTTGGTTCTCCACTTTCCAAATTCTGGTCTGCCCTACAAGAAAAAGAATGAAATATGTTTTACGCTAGTTAGGGAGCACAATAAATTATATTAGTAATATTGGTCAATGAAATTTTATACCTTCAACAACTCCTCCCAAGCTAGTACATCGGCTGTGACACGTCCAGTGTGAGCATCTAACCCAAAACCACTCATGCTTAACAACTGACGAACTTCAACATATTCTTTTTTTAGAGTTTTCAATCGCGCCCTCACATTCTTATCAGACACCATCACTCCGCATCCATTGTGCACGCTCTCGATTGCTTTGGACACGTGAAATGATGAAAAACCATTGTCACTTCTTTTGTGACTAGACAACACTTGATGTAGTAGTGCAGTTATCATACAACTGTCCATTGCATCACTCCAACGTATTTGACGATTCCTAGAATTAGGATCCGCTTGGGTTGAGCTTATTTCCTCCACATCTGAATGAAGGGTTGGTCTAGAAACTCGAAAAGGTGCTGCAGAGCTTTGTCGAATATTTGCCATGAATTGTATAGTGCAAGATTAACTGTTTACGGTCAACCAACAAATAAGAACATTTAAGAAAATTGCATGTTAACAATGTCTCCAATAACAACAATTCCAATTACAATATTTAAAATTCTAGCAATCTTATGTCAACTATTACAGGACATAGGAAAAAAAAAACAAAAAATATGCTTAATGTCAATACGTCTTCAATTCAATCAATTACTAAATATGAAAGTCTAGTAAGTTTATATCCATTACATAGAAAAAAAACAAGATTTCAATCGAAATCAATTCCCGCATTCTGATTGGGAAGATAATCAGCGCACATTAAATCAGCAATCGCAATCCTCTTATTAGACCACACTTCCTAATTTGTGAAAGATATGTGAGCATTTGGAGTTTCATCTTCAGGTACATCAACATGCGTAGAGTTAACCTCATCATCACTACTATCTAAGTCGTCCTCCTCACAAACATCTTCAACGTCATCAATCCTTAAGAAGTTGTGGATGGCAGAACATGCAAGGACTATCTTTGCTTGTGTGTCAATGTCGTGATAGGGTTGATGTCTCAAATATGCAAATCTTTTTTTTAGCAACACAATTGTACGCTCAATAACATTACGTAGAGATGAATGTTGAAAATTGAACAACTCCTTACCACTTTCAGGACGTTGACCTTCAATGTCTCTACGATGATAACGAGTCCTACGGTATGGTGCAAGAAAACCTGAAATCGATGGGAAGCCAGCGTCAACAAGGAAATATTTACCTAGGAAAGAGTCGTTTATACGATGGTAGTTAGGTAATTATTATAACTTATGTGTGGAAGAAATGTTTTCAAAATAGTGACACAACTTACCAACAGGAATTGTTAGCTTATGTCCTTGGAGTAATATTGCACTCCGTAACAATCGACCATCATGTGCAGATCCCTCCCAACCGGCATGCACGTACGTAAATTTCATATCAAATGTGTAAGCTACTAAAACATTTTGGGAAATCACTTGCTTTCTATTGCGATATTTACCTTGCTCCTCTAAAGGCACATACGCAGCTATATGTGTACCATCGATTGCTCCTACGACATCCTTTAAAAAACAATACTTTTCAAACTAAATATGAATATTGAAGTTTTAAAAAATATGATGAAATATCTACAAACCACTAACCTGAAAAAAGGAGTACCATGGCTGCACATTTTTTTTTTCATATGGTGAGTTATGAGGAGTGGCATTAATCACAACATCTCTATACAGTCCAAGACAAGCGTGTAAGACTCTATAAAAGTAAAAGCTCACTGTTTGACCAGAGTGAAAGAAAGTAAAACATCCAGCGCGATTACGTTGGTCATACCCGACTGTATTCAGAAAAATTGCGACTTGTTCCTCAATTCGAACGTATTTACTGTCAACCAATCCATAAGTTCGCAAACGAGCACATAATCTTTGAAATGGACCTATTTTCATCCTAAAGAGATCACGACATATTGTATCACTCATGCCAAACATTCGTGTAAGTGTTATTTCTCTTTCAGAATTCCAATTTGTGTGAGGAGCTCTTGGAAGATGTCGTGCACGACGCCTAACTTCGTTATATATCACAATCGCTTGTATGACCATTGTCCAAAATAAACATAAATGTTGTCGTCGGCATCGACGTTGATTCGTTGTTGAAGCCATGTTATAAACTACCATGGTAAACAAAAATCCAATAAAAATTTGTTTATAAAGAATAACATAACATCATTACAGAATAAAAAGTTAATTGTAGCTACAAGAAAATATGCACAATGGACAACTGTTAATTTATTAAGCATTATATTGGTAATAGATCCATAGATACACGCACCCAAGCCAATCAAAACGCTAGCTGGGTTTAGTTTCTTGAATTTCTTTCTACTTTCTGGACAGTAAACCAAATTATTGTAAATCAAACCATTCCCACTGTCATTGAAATTTGAGATTTCAATCTCAATGACGAGTGCTCAAGATACAAATATGATAAGTTATTCAAAAAATAAAGAACTTAAATAGCAACATTTAAACATCAATTACTTGGTCGATCTCCATCGGAATTAATCATGTCGAGCCTTGTTCAAAGTGATATAACTATTTAGAAACACATGGTTTTGTAATACAATCATATTAATGCAAAATCAGACATCAGTTAAACATATTACAGTTAAAAATAAAAATAAAAAACTTTTTGGTATTTCAAATAAACGATTAACACATTCTGAAACTAATTAATCACAATGTCACTTGTAGATACAATACATAAGGGAAAATTTTTCATAGAGATAGATTGGAATAAATAAAATTCCATAACTAGTTTATACTTTTGTCCTACTGATGTAAATCTTAACTAATCGTTGTGCAACAAACATGTTTTACTAGACTAAAGAACAAATTTTAGCATTACTAGACTAAAGAACAAATTCCTACTAGTAGGATGTGAGGGCGCGATTGAAAACTCAAACATTTCCCTAAATTTACGAACAACCAATGATGCCAGATCTAGAGAAATGAAGTTCCCAAAAGACCCTTTTTCTCCAAATACTAAAAGGAATTGCCTTCATTGCCATTATCAGAGGCAATATCAAACAACTATTTAAAAGACCACCTTTAGTACTGGTCAAGATCAAAACTTTCATTTGGTTCTGGCAGCCCAGTAATTAAATTGAAATAAATCATCAAAAGAATTTGCTAGAATATGGCCCAAGCGAACCAACCAGTTAGCTATTTGAAAAACCTAATAATAATTTAAACAGTTGATGATTCAATCTTGGAGGTGGTTGACCAGTACACTTAATTTCTTGCCCTGTTGAATGCGTAAAATCTATACCAAAAGACATCTACAGACATATAATGTGCATCAGAATCTTTAACTCTGAAGTGTTGTCCAAAAATGAAAATTTGGTAATGAATTTGAGACAAATTTTACTTAAATTTCATCAAATCTGGTAACAAGTAAAAAGAGATTCCTTTTATGAAAATCTTTTTCCTACGAAGATACACAAGAAAGCAGCCTCAAATGCAAGTAACATGAAGGATAAATGGTTCTAATAGATAGAAAACAGCAGAAAAAATGAAATTGCTACAAAATAGTCAAAATACTGACCCTAATACCAACATAATTGAAGTCAGGATCCAAGTGCTATATTAGGCAAACAGTGATAACTTACCGGCAATTATCTTATTGAAAATCCAAACACTACTCTAGCAAAGAAATCTCAACCAATTTCTGAGATTCTACTAACATGTGTGAGGAACTATTCAATTGATGTTACCCTCAAAACCATCGATATAAATACCACTGGATTCCAGTTACTCTTCGAATGTAATACAGTAAAAACCAGAAAAAATTCATATATTAAAAAAGCAAAAATGATATAGTGAAAACCGCCAAAAATGATATATCTCCAATAGAATTAACTATATATTCTTATAACTCACAATCATCACTTTCTGCATCACTATTTAATAATGGTTCATCTTTGCTTCCCGTATCCTAAACGTACATGTTTAACAACTTAATCAGCATAAACTAAGTTTTCTAAATTGTGCTACTTTCTTAATGAGTAAGCAGCAACCTACCATACAAACCCAGCAGACCCAATGCGATCAATGAGTTAATAGTGATCTATCCTTTGATTTGATCTACCATTTTGCAATGCGTTGGTTATTTGACAGGTAAACCCTCATCAAAGCTTATTTAGTAAGAACAATCATGTGAATTTCCTTCCTCATAACTTCATACCAGGGATGTCTTCTTTTGATATTCCCAAACTGCCTCCACTTCCACAGCCCCCATCATTCATACTACATTTAAATTAATCAAGAAACTCAACCATTGAAAGCATAATTCATTCAAGGTCTTCAAATGCAAGTATAGATAAAGACAAAGATTTCATAACTCTGGGAAATCTTAAATGATACATATGCCAACAAAATTGCAAGATTCCACCTCCATCTCCACCTTGTAGAACCTGAACCCAATTTCTTTCCAGCTCCACCTCCACCTTGCAGAACCCAATTTCTTTCCACCTCCACCTCCACCTTGCAGAGCCCATCACAGAAATAGAATTGGGTGTCATTAAAGAGGAGAGAAATTCTGGAATCCGAGTTCGCATACAATCATGTGGAATCTCAAAATCAAAAAAACAAAAACAAATTCCAAAAAATCCGCGTTCGCTTTGTACTCAGTTTAATTAAGAATTACACATATAGAAATCAAATATTGTGAGAGTAACCTGAATCTATGCAGTTACCGTCTCGTCGATTTCTTCAAACACGGTCGGTTGAATCGTTGAGAGACGCCTTCCTGGTCAGTCGATTTCTTCTTCGTGCTTCGGTTTAATGGATGTGAGAGACGCTGGTTGGCTCAGTTGAATGGACGAGAGATGGCTTGCTGGCTGAGAATCGATGTGAGAGAGAGAGGTAGCGATTTGTACGTGGTTGGTTACCAACTAGAATTTTTGGAAGGGTTAAATTCCATGGAAAATAAAATCCACCTTCCTCCAAGGAAAATATTTTCCTTGTTTTCAAGGAATATGTGGTCACGTGATCAAAACAAGGAAAATATTTTTCTTGGAATAAATTATCAATCAAACAAGATAAAAGTAGAAAATTATGTGGAAAAAACACATTTTCCATGGAGAATGTGTGCAATCAAACGCACCATAAGGGATGATAAGTGTGTTTTACAAACTTCTGTAGTCTTTTAAACTTAATGAATATTAATTGTTTGAGTGGAATCCTATTTAATTTAGTGTATATATTTCTTTTATAGGTGAAAACTCCGAATTCACGGTTAGTTGGGCATAAAGAAAAAGTTTTGGATTTTAAATTAGACAAAATGACGGAATTGTATGATTGTCAAAAAGTTCGAGGACTTAATTTGAAAACTTCAGAAGTGGGAAAGTTTTTTTTTTTATTATTTTTTTTTAACTGTTAAATCATGTGTTGCCACGTGACATAATGTAAAAAATAATGTAAAAGAAGATGCACATGTAGTATGATTGTTTAAATAAATGGTATTGGCTTAGGATTTTTGGCATGTTAATAATATGGGAGACCAAAGACATCTCTACATGTTATTTTAAAAGTAACTTGCTAAAGATTCAAAGTAAGTAAACTTGTCATTGTCTTCATGTGTACGTCACATGGTTAAATTTATAAATGTGTTACCTGAATTTGTCCCTATGTGAACATGATATTTGATTATTACGTTTTATATCATTAATACTCCTCATAATATATTCATGCATGTCAATGCATTTATAAGCATACATGAAGTTTCAAGGATAAAAACTTTCCAAATGTCATGAGTAAAGAATGTTTTTTAAAGGTATGTATCTCGATTGTTTTGTTAAAAGATAAATGTCCATGCATCGGCACATCCAACCAATATTCAATGTTCAATGATAATATTAATGTTAACCGTGGTATTACCAATAGGACGAATTAGATTCCAAATAATAATTGTCCACTGCATTGGATTGGCAGGCAATACACCAGTAAGCTAAAATACTAGCGCTAAGTTTTTAAAGAAATTGAAGAAAATCGGATACATATTGATAAATCAATCCACAGGCAATTGGAGGACCTAATTGGGATGATATAAATTTGGAGAGACCAAAAGTGTAAGAAAAATTGAAATAAAGGACTGAATATGAACGAAAACAGTAAACTATGGACCAAGATAAAGATTCGATAGATGGATAATTTGATTTGCAAATTTAGGCTGCATAATCCACATTTGTGCACCTCTTGGGCAAAAATTGAAAGTGTTCAAATGAAATACAAACCAAGATTTTTTCCTATGCAAGCTAGAGTGTCACAAACCGAGAGTTATCCTCTCTCCATACAGCAAGACTAGGTCACCGATAGCTAGGTATATGGTCCTAATTACCTAAAAGTGTACTAATAATGTGATCATATGTAGGTATTGTCTAATATCCCAT